AGTATATCAAATGTCTAGTAAAGCTGAACTAGTAATGACACTGCACCTAGATGAAATATGTTAAGAAAAAGTAGGCATGATGGTTCATTTCAGATATTTTAGCAAGTTCTCTAGAAACGGCGTTTTTGTGATTGAATATTTGAATGGGCTATAACAAATATCTAGAACAGCCGAACTATCACGTTATTATCATTATTATTATTATTGGTGGGAAATTATAACGGGAATGTATTTGCCGTTTTAATATCAAGAACACTTCCACGTTTTTGTGTGTATACAGGAATGTTAAAGATATCATTGAGGAAAACGAGGTTGACGTGACGTGACTGAATCAGGGAATCCGTGTGTCCACCACGGGAGAGGACCCTAATTGACTTTACATTGGCATTGTTTTCGTGGTGGCAGCACGTAAATTCAACCCAATACGTGCTGCCACCACGGAATGCGGTGTTAAGAGGTCGTGTTCATTTCACGTATTTCTGTGAGATCAGGTTGTCATTATGACGACAAGACTGTAAGCTGCAGACACAGCACCTGGCTGTCATTCCCTGAGAAATAGTAAGCACATAATCCACACTACGTTACAAATTGTCTTTTCAACATTTGATGAAGTATATAGTTGTAAGGTCAGTTCCCCCGATTCCAGTCTTGGTTATCCTGGGGCTAAACACATCCTGATTCCAGTGCAACACACAAGCATGAGACTGATATTGATAATCTTTATATGCTGAACTATGGCTTCAAAACCTAAACAGATGACATATCATCGGTCTTAAGTTGTGAAGGCCTTTTGCATAACAGAGCCACTGAACATGTGGGACTTTTCCATGCCACCGAACTATTTCATTTAATTCACAGCGAGTCCCTATACCCTTATTATTACTTATACTCTTATTCAGTATCTTATTCTTACAAAACCATGAGTTATGTCAGTGTAGCAAGGTCCTACATATGTTTACAAGTAACTCTTGCTATGTATCATCTTTGTAACAAGAGCTAAGGACTCCGCTGCCTGCTAGCATTCTAGCAGTAGGTGCTGACCTGTTTGTTACTGGGGCGGCTGTGGCTCAGAGGTAGAGCAGGTCATCCACCAATCGGAAGGTCTGCAGTTCGATTCCCCGGCTCCTCCTGTCTGCATGCCGAAGTATCCTTGATACTGAACCCCGAATTGCTCCCAATGGCTGTTCCATCGGTGTGTGAGTGAGAGTGACTTAAAAAAAACTGAGCAGCAGGTGGCACCTTGTATGGTAGTCTTGGCCACCAGTGTATGAATGTGTGCGTGAATGGGTGAATGTGACTCGTAGTGTAAAAAAAAAAAAGCGCTTTTGAGTGGTCGTATACAAATGCAGGTCCATTTACTGCTTTGTACAAGTAGTATATGTCAATTAAGAGGCTATCGGCTGTGATGCTCTTAACATTGAGCTGAATCTTGCAGTCCTTGTTCATCAATAACAAGTAAATGCAGGTCCATTTACCATTTACTGCTTTGTACAAGTAGTATATGTCAATGAAGAAGCTATCAGCTGTGACACTCTTAACATTGAGCTGAATCTTGCAGTCCTTGTTCATCAATAACAAGAAAATACAGTTTTACTGACCAGAAGACTTTGTCCTTGGTCACCCGCTCCTGAAGCAAAGTCCACTTACGGCCTAGGTCTGTGGAAGTGAAGAGCTGGACACAGACAAAAAGAGAGAAGACCACAATTAGACAGCAAAACACACACTCAAAGTAGGGTGACCAGACGTTCCACAGTGCGCGGGACTGCACAGCATTTCTGTCTCTTTTCACACGTCACGCAAATTAAGACCATGTCCCACATGATTGGTTGTCACCTGCGCTTGCCCCCCCCCCCCCCGGCCAATGAAAAGAAGCTGCATGCAGCGGCCGGCCCACGTGGGCTCTCTGTTTATTGTCATAGTAGCACCGCACGTGTGTTTAAGCACTAGGGCCCGCTCCTCCCGCCCCATTTGGCAACTATTTCAATTTCTATTTTTCATCTCCTTGATAGCAACAGGAGGACAATCTACCAGACTCTGCAGTCGAGCTAACGGGGCTAACACTAACGGGGCTAGAGTGACTTCAACCTCCGGTAAGCTCAGGGGTGGAGGCCTGGCTGTCTACATCAATGACTCATGGTGTAGAGATGCTAACACGATCTCAAAGCACTGTTCCCCTGGAGTTCATGGTAGTCAAGTGTCGACCTTTTTACCTCCCACGGGAATTCACAGCAGCATTCATCATTGCAGTATATGTCCCTCCAAGTGCTGACCTCCAGAGACAATACCACTTGTGGTCAGGAAAGCACAACAGTGTCTTCATCTCCTCCGGAGGCTGAAGAGAACAGGCCTCTCCAAGTCAGCCCTGACTGTGTTCTACCGCGGGACCATCAAGAGCATCCTCACTTACTGTATCACTTCATGGTACGGGAACAGCAGAGGGAAAGAGAGACAGAGACTGAGCAGAGTGATCAAAACAGCAGAGAGGATTATTGGTGTTCTGCTGTCACCAATGCTGGAAATCAACAACCAGAGATGCACATGCAGAGGGGAACGCATCATCCATGACTCCTCTCATCCCGCTCACTCTTTTCTCTGTTGCAGTCAGGAAGGAGGTACAGGAGCATTCGAGCAAGTACTTCTTGACTACAAAACAACTTCTTCCCATCTTCTGTTAGACTACTGAATGCACAATAATCATTGGCTGTCTGCCCACTATCCACTTAATTTAAAACTAACTTTAAGCCCTTAGTATTTATTAAAAATATTATTAAATAATTTATGGTATATTTATTTATTTATTTGCATTGCACTGTTCTCTTTTAGTGAGTTTTCTTTAAGTGTTTTTTACTTAGGAAACAGTATTTCGTTTTTATGTACCTGCATAAGAATGACAAAGTGAACTTGAACCTGAACCTGAACATGAACAGGTTACACTTGTTAGCTAATGACACTCGTGCCTGGAAAGTAGACGAGAGCAGGCAGCCTCAGCGGGGGGTGGTGACAAAAAGCTGTGGTGAAGTCAGACAGTATCCCAACAGTTTCCAGCAGCCTTCAGTCCGTACAGGAAGTCACAGATACACTCACATCCTGTCTGGAATGATGTCAGTTAATAAAAAAAGTGATCAGATTCAAATATCAGTTTGTTTTTCAGTCTCCAGTTGTTTTAATTATGATAGATTAATTTATTAAAATGCTTTACAGGTGATCTGTAATTTACGTTCATGGTTTAACCTCAATTTTACATGAATTCTCCTGTAAATCAGCATCATATCAGTTTGACCTGTCCCCTCAACTACACAGGCTAAATAAACTGTGTTTGACTATAAGGTTAATATTTTCAGGAAAAAAAACAACAGCTTTCATTAAAGATCAGTCAGATACAGTCAGGGCTTGACATCCGTACGCTACAGATGTTATTTTAAGAATCCTCACATCCCACTGACCACAATTCTGTGTTGCTAAATACTTCAATAATTAAAACAGTCCAGTGTTAATATACAGTAGACTCTGTATAGTTTATGAGGAATGTATTTAGTCTCTGATGACTTAACTTTGCACTGGGAGCGAGTGTCTCACATTGTCCCTCACAAACCTACTCCTTTTCCCACATTTGGTTTATTGGGACCTGGTCACAGTTACTCAAAGCCTGTAGCAATAGATTATGAAGTCTAACCCCAGCCCTATTACCAGCTGTATCCTCTACAATGGAGGATATATGGAGTCTATTTGGATCACCCCAATTCACCCAATCAAGCTCCTGAATTTCATGCACCACCAAGTTAAGACTGAGCTCAATTCATTATTCATCACAGCAGGTTTCGTGTTTGTGACTGTGTGTGAATATGCCTAATATTTTATGAGCAGTGTGTTTGTAGTATGTGTGTGTTGCCTGAGCTTGTACAGTATTGATCGCACTCATAATGAATGAATATTGATTCCTATGCATAAGGTATCCTTGAAGCCTGAAAAGTACATTGGAGCTGAGAAAAGTATTTCACCATACAAACTTCCTCTACCATAAAGAAACACAACACAGTCTCATTGAACACTATCTCTGTCATTGACTGAGGTTTAGTTGTTAAGGCAGTACATCCTGTTGAAATCCTGCACATAACATAATTTCTGATTCAGGATATGAAAAAAATGAGTCATCAGTGATCAAACTCAGTTGTAAAGCCAATTACAACTGTAAATTCCAGGCTGAGAAAAAGAAGATATGTTGCTAAAGGGATAGTGCACCCAAAAATGAAAATTCAGCCATTATCTACTCACCTAAATAAATGACGTTTTTCCAAATAACTTTTTATGTCAGGACACTTGGATCACTACGGACGAGCAATATGGAGATATTTTGTGGTTTCAATTCTGTGTTCTTGGACGTTTTAATTTGGGTCACCGTCAGCCATTAGGTGTGCAGTTGTGCTGCTGCCCACTTCCCCTTCGGATCTCTGTAAGTGTTGTGAGGACTCTAAAACTTCACCAGAGCCTCCCTCGGCATATGGGTGAGTAGATAATGGCTGAATTTTCATTTTTGGGTGCACTATCCCTTTGCTAAGCGTCTTCCCATCAGCCTCCAACTGAATGCTTTCTTGTTAATTAGATTCCTTACTTCCATATACAGCCTGCCCATATGGAACAGATTAAAACCCAATGAATTTCTTACTTATTTACATGTAAACTACAAAAGTTGAGGAGGAGTTGAGTTGGCTCGAACTTTTCAACTCTTGGACCAAATGTCCCACCTTTATGTCTCTGGCTCCATTTCCACTTCATAGTACACTTTCAATTAGAGGGTGTGTGCATGTGTTTAACAGTTGTAAATGTAAACTGACACAGATCTTTTTTTCTTTTTTTTTTTAAATTGAAATAATGAATCAGAGCATGCTTTGCCTGCAGTCCATTTTGTAAGGGAGTTAGTTAGTCAGTCAAAGGTTAGCTTGTGTCTGAATGCCTGGTCAAGTGTGGCTTGACAAGGTGATATTTCAGGCTTGAAGTTCTCCAATGGTACGAAAATTTCTTACTACAGAAATTGGAGAGAACACGGCTTCTTTCAACAGTTCCATCTGGGCATTTTTAAAATGTAAATGTTCCATTCATGGGGCCTGATGTGGTCTATTCTCAGCTGGAAAGACTTAATTTAGAGTTATTTGGACACTATTAACTCTTACAGTTTTGTGTTTAGTCACATAAAAAAAGACCATTTTTTTGTGTTATTAGGGAGAATGACACTACCACCTTATAAGGCCCATACTGAGCAAAGAATACTTGGATCATAATTAATGTTCGGCAACTCCCTTACTATCAATTAGCAATAATCAGGACGTTGTTGAAGAAAAACCCTTAATGGACTAGTAGTTGTGAAATGTGGTATTGCAGAATAAGACATTATTAAGTGCTTCATAATGACTAATGAATAACCAATATGTACTGATATGAATGTTAACGAGCAACCAGTTAATGGTGAAAATGTGTTCCTTAATATGAAGTGTTACCCTGTTATCTGCTATACAACGGTGCCTGTATACTCATCAACCAGCACCTGAGAATCCTCCTCTGCAGTATAATTGTCGGTATCAATTACCATATCTTAACACTTCAAATAACACTGGCTATTTTGTTTCCATGTATGTAGATGTCTAAACACCACAGTGAGGCATTCACCTCAAGTCTTGTAATTAAAATAATAACAAACTGTTTGTTAGCCACAGGAAAGTACTTGTATTTTGAGTAAGTTGTATTTTACATTACTGTTGTCTCTTGTTTCATAGTGTTAGCTACCGTAACAAAAAATAATTGTAGTAACCAAGGTTATTTTTAACCTTTATTTTCTTTTTTATTTGACTCTTTCAAATATTACTTTTTGTGTCTTTGTATGTTGCTTTGTACATATTTTATATCTTGTCTAAATACTTTTTCTATGTCTTATCTGCAGCACTTTGAATGATTTGTTGTTTAAAGGTGCTGTGCAAATAAGCATGCATTGCCCCCAAACTGCATTGGAAGAGAAATGGAGAGCTAACAGTAAAACCATTACCTAAACTATCCATTGTAAACACCAATCAAAGTATACAGACCCACTTCCTGGTTCAACTGTGACCTACAATACTTGCTTTAGTTGTGGGTCAGGGGCGATTGCTCTGAGACAACAAGGGAGGCTGAGCTTCCCCTAAAATTCATAGAAGAAATGGTCAAATATGCACTATTGAATTTACATTAAAATAAGAATTTACATTGCATTAAATGTACTAGGATGTGTTTAACATCATGACTATGATGTTCAAACGTCTGCTGTTTATCACTAGTTTTCAAACGCGACCTCCCTGTCACACATTCTCTTGTCAGCATGGTGGACACAGAGCCTCCAAGCATTCCTACGAGTCAGTGCTGAGCAGTTTTTTTTCATGCGACAAAATCATCACTTCCAGGGAGGCTCAGGTTCCCTGGGACCTAGTGGAGCGGTAGGCAGGAGAGGACCCTCGGTGTATGCATGATGACTGGGGGAATTATCTAAAAGGCTGAACCCCTTTGTGATTGACAGCGCTTTGGAAATACATACCGGCATCGTCGCATTTCGAGCTCAGTCCCATGCAGATATTTGAGAGTGGAGTCTTCTGACAGAATGCCGTCCGGAGTTCCTAATTTCCATAAGCCATATAGCTCGATTTCACCGTT